TCTTTCTTTCTTTCTTTCTTTCTTTCTTTCTTTCTTTCTTTCTTTCTTTCTTTCCTTCCAATATTTGGTTAACACTTACCTGATAATGTGAATCCAGTCCACAAAGATTTGGGCTATACAAAATCTGTTAAAAGTTTAAGGTGTGCTGTGGCCCTGTGTTCCCTCTCTCCAGGCAATTCATGGACCCCCGACTGAGCCCTCCGAAGACAAGGGTCCGGAAAAGAAGGAAGAAAGCTGTTTGGAAGGCGAAGAGGAAGTGCCCCCAAGCAGCTGCTCCCGACCCAGATCTCTACCACTGTGACGTCTGTGGGAAGGACATCAAGTACCAGTCGAATTTCCGGGAACACCAGCGCATCCACACGGGAGAGCGCCCTTACCAGTGCAAGCGCTGTGAGAAGACCTTCACCCGCTGCGCCGACCTTATTAAGCACCGCTTGGTGCATTCAGCCCTACGGCCCTTCCGCTGCCGGATCTGCGGGAAGCGGTTCAAGCTCCAGGCTGACCTGGACAAGCACGGCAAGGTACATTCGGACGAGGCTCCCTTTGCCTGCCATTTGTGCCCCAAGCATTTCAAGCGCACCTCCTGCCTGGTTAAGCACCTGCGCATCCACACCCAGGAGAAGCCCTTCGCCTGCTCGCATTGCAGCCGGCGCTTCAAGTGGGAGGCCTCGGTCAAGGAGCATGAGCGGGTCCACACAGGCGAGCGTCCTCACCGCTGCGACCAGTGTCCCAAAACGTTCACCCATCGTTCCACCTTCCTGCAGCACCAGCGCACCCACCAGAAGCACCCTGCCTTTAGCTGCAAGCACTGTACCAAGTCATTCAATCACAAGTCGAACCTGCTGAAGCATGTGCGCACTTTACACTCTTAGGGCCAAAGGGTGAGTGAGCAGGAGATCCTTCAATGACCCCCCTCCCTTTTCGGGGTGCCAAAAGACTGCAAGACGTGTGACGGCGTTCTTCCCTTTGAGAAAAGCTCAAATGGGGCTTCCGAGGGAAGATGGTGGACTGAAGACAGCTCGGCTGACGAGCAGAGCCGGCGTTTGCAGCGTTTTGCAAGGAGGCTGGAGCAGATTGGGTCCCTCTGATCCTGTCTGAGTCAAAGAGAGAGACGTGAGATCACCCAAGCTGTTTCTCCTTACGGTTGTGCCTTTTCCTCACAAAGAGACCGCAAGACAGCAGGAGATGGGAGAATTTGCCACATTTGCTGCAGGTGCAAACAGAGCCCTTCAGAGGACATTTAAGCTCATGCACTTCCCTTGCTAACTATTTCCGGAAATTGCCTATTAACGGATTTAACACCTTCGGAATGACAAGATTGGGAACACCAGGTGAGGAAGTGCTAATCTTTAAGAACTTAAACAGCAAAAAGTAAGACAAGGTTTTGGCTACAGAAAGTTTTAAGGGCTCAGAAAATGTTGGAATTTTAGACTTTGAATATTAAGATTTTGAAACTATTTTTTTTAAATAAAAGTATGCTTGTGAAAAAGAGAAATTGTTTTATGAGATTGGAGGTATAAGACAAGCAAATAATGATGGCGTTTACAGACATCTTTGAAGAACTGCATAGAGACCTGGGTTATGAAGTGTCAACTACGTTGTGTCTTCTTGAGAACAGTTTGCTCCCAAATGAAGGTATTACAAAATGAGATATGCAGCAAAATTTACTTGAAGAAAATATAGAGACTTTGAATAAGAATCTGTCACCAGACACAGAGAGAAAACTGGATGAGATTCTAAAAATCAAGAAGGAAATTAAAATGATAATCCCAGAAAACAATTGGAATAATTTCCCTTTGTTGGATTTACAAAAGAGACTGTTTAAAGTGCTAAAGAAATTTGTAACAAGGATCAACAATAATCTGAATGGATTATAGAGAAAGACTGCCCTGTGTAGAAGAAAAAAAGAGTACAAAGTTGGTTTATTTGATCAGGGATAAAATGGGATATATTGTTATTCTGGGTGGTTCTTTCTGGATTTATTGATATATTAATTAGAAAATATAGTGTACTGGATTTGCCTACATTGAATATGATGTAAAAGCTTTTTATCCTATAGTTATTCTATGTAATCCTAATTTTATAGTACTTAAATTGGCTTTACATTTAATTGTTTCTCTTTTTTTATCCTATAGTTATTCTATGTAATCCTAATTTTATAGTACTTAAATTGGCTTTACATTTAATTGTTTCTCTTTTTTTATCCTATAGTTATTCTATGTAATCCTAATTTTATAGTACTTAAATTGGCTTTACATTTAATTGTTTCTCTTTATTCAAAGTAAGCAAGTTTGGAGAATTTGGTTTTTTTAAAGGAGAAATTATTTCTCTTCCTTAAGTTAAACTTTAGTTTTTTGTCTACATTAGGATACTGGGATTACTTTATATTTGTAAAACGTAGGTGTCCCTATAGTTTAGATTGGAGATACAGAATATGTATTTGAATGGGATAAGTTGTTATCTGGAATATTGTGTATTGGGGCTTGTCTTTTGTAAAGGAGAAATGGTCTCTTTTTGTCATGGTAAACTTTTTTTTTTTTGGTTTATAATAGGATATTGGGAGCATTTTATGACTTTTAAATGGGATTTTGTTTTGGTTACGAGGCGAGATGTGGATTGTTGAGCTTTATACATGTTAATTGATGTTAACATCTTAGAGTTTTGTTTGGATCTGGTAACTGGATTGAAGAAGACGTTATTTATTTGATTTGCCTGTTGTTAAGAAATGGGTTATGGGATGAAGAGTTTTATATTTCTTAACTAAGAGGAAGTGAAGAGATTAGGGAACTGTTATACTTGCCATGATGAGGGTGGAGAATTGTTTTCTTAGGGGGTGAAGGAGTTTTTTATATATACATTTTTTTCTTTTTTATTATTTTTTTGCATTTCTTTTCTTTCTTTCCTTTCGTCTGTATTATCCCAGAATTTCCTGTATCCCAGAATTTCCTTTCGTCTGTATTATCCCAGAATCCCGTCTCCCAGAATTTCGTCTGTATTATCTTTTATTGCTTTATTCAAAAGTTTAATAAAACTATTTTTAAAAAATCTCAAAAATAAAAATTCTCCCTAAACGACATCTAGAAGAGAGAGGAGACAAAAACAGAGCTCCGTTTTTGCTCATTTCTCACCCTTCTGCCAAACTTGGCTTATGCTAATCAATCATTTGTACAAAGAACTATGTTTCTAATGCAGG